AGGAGATAGCAAATAAAGGCTACACATGCCTTGGCATCTTATGCAGGTACAGTATGTGTGTACAAGAGACGGATTTGGAGACAGCTTCTAAGGACTTATGGAGCTGATCCCTCGAACGCACATACACCAAGCATGAACAACCTATGCGAAGAGAAGTTTGCGGACAAAAACGATATGCATAATACAAGCCAGATTGCCTAAAACCCGCGACTGGAGATAATTTGATTTCGAAGAGATTAAGTAAACTTCGTGGACGAAAAAGTTGTAATAATGGAAAAAATATTACTCTGCATAGATGGGCCTAATAATTGCTGCTGAATACGTTGTCAAATAACAGACTAAGCGACTAATTGGCCGAAAGGTTCAATTAGTTAACTGATGAAAAAAACAATAACTGAATGAACGAGGAAGAGCGAATGAATGCACGAATGGTTGAATGCTCGCAGACATGTGTACCGATCAAATTGTATCGGCACAAAGTCTTGGTAACTGACTTTTACACTGAAAAGCTGTTGCAGGATTGCGACTGTCGTCCCGGAAATTCTTAATTTCTCAAGACTTATGGGCAAATGCGGAAGGAACGCCAGTCACTGTAGCAGGTGAACTTCTTTGTACTGCCTCGTGGGCTTCACACTAATTCTCTTGCCAGTTGTTTCCCCCCCCCATATTTCACATATAGCCCACACTCATATGAGCCAAGACAGGCATTCTGTCCCTTACCCTCATAGGTGGGGCAGCAGCCTTTCATCCCCAATGCCATGTTAGACAGGTCAAAGAGTTCCTTGGGCAGAATGCCACTTCCAGCTATCTTCAAGTCGGACTGCAGCTTAGACTATTAGGAAGAGGAAACTTCGTCTATAATTAAGATCTCTGCATGACGGTGTACGGATTTGTACCCCCGTTATGCTTGTCCGCGTGTGTATGTGACTTCTGGCCAACACAGCATGTGCACAAGAAGCTGTTTGTGATCATGATGCAGTTTGCAGTTTCGCGAGTTCTAACGTTTTCCACTAACTTGCCTCTGCAATCTACTTCAATGATTATTCTGTCGCTCTCCCCAATCGCTGCTTTCCTCTCTCCCCACTTAAAACCATACCTCCACGTACATATTGCCATGGGCTCATTCAATGGCGCTGCCTACCTGCGCCTCTGCAATACTCGACCTGGGCAATCTTCAGTCGTGCAAAACCAGAGGACAATAATAAGCATATTCAACTACTTATTCACAGACAGGGTGACATCACTACAAACACACAGGGGGACATAAGAAGATATGAACATATATACATACCGATGGTTACATACTCAGGCATAAGAGCACACACACACAGGCGAGAGTAGATAAGAAAACTAGCAGAATGTGAGACAAATTCATCGCACATGGCCATAAAATCTATACACCTGACAGGAGTTTCGAGTTGAGAGCAAACACTAAGACGGGTTTGTTGGCGTGCTGTTGGAAGCTCGGGCATGAGACGATGAGGACATACTTTCAGGCTCTCGTGTAATGCTGTAGGGCCCATCATCCGCCAGTTTGGGCTAAAAAGAGAGCTAGAGTGAGGGGCATAGAAAGGAGATAGGACAGAAGATAGATAAGTTGAAGGAACATGTGCGCACGCTTACCTCTGTCTGCCAGTAAAAAAAGGCACATCGTTATTAAACCAACCAATCCGTTGTCGCCTTTTTCGGAATCTGCATCCTCATCTGGTTGAAGACTTTAAAAACTTCCTCTGTGGCGCACACACACACACACACATACACACACACACACACACACACGTACAGATAGTCTATTAAATTATTAATCGTACATCCACAACCTCGTACACTCGTCCACTCCGGCTGCACATCTATCGATGCCTACTATCTCGACGCTGCGTTAGCTCCAGACTTTGCTTTCGTCCGATCAACGCTGAGGGCCATAAACACAAGTACTCTGCCTATTTGCAATCGGCCTCAACCAAGCGCATGCGTAAGACGATACTCAGTTTTGGCGATCGGCTTGTTGTATTTCGCGCAGACATTAACGTGTGTTCTTTCATCTGCATAATTCCGCCTGATCCAGCCGCGTCGACCTTCCACAACCTGACTATTTCTCTCGGCTTAGCATGACCTTCGTGAGTACGACCGGCGGCTGGTGAATTGCAATTTGTGTGGTTGATTTCAGCCCATTCGATTCTAGTGCATCTACTTGTCTGTGGATCTAGGAGGCACCTCCTGGCCACGAACTCAGACCAGAAGAGGCCCATTTATGAAGTGTGGCCGTGGTAGGTGGCGAGCAGACACGCAGGATGTGTTTGGATAATGCTTCAATTCACCAGCTCTTCTTTGCATCCTCACCAAACGCACTACGGGAAAAGTGATCCACTTTATCATTCTTTCGCGTCTCATCCGCTCATTTACTAAGTGAGTACATACCATAGTCTTACTTAGATATTACCTGAATTCAAGTAGATTTCGCTAGATTTACTGTTTCTTGCCGTTCGTATTATT